CCCACCCTGCCCAGGGCTGGGGGGAAGGAGCTTCCCAGCAGCTCCACTGGCTCCTGCAATGAGCTCCAACCAACCAGAACTTCACTAAGGAGTCATAAAGATGCACAGGGTATCTTTAGCACTTTTTGTCTGGAGTGTTTTGAATTAGGCTTCTGTGGATTAATTAATTTTCTGTCTTTACAATTAGAAGAATTTACTCACTACTCTGCCACGTTGAGTAACTCATGAGGGCAAGGGTTTTATCCTGGATGGTGCTGACACATGGGTGGCTTTAATATCCCCACCTTCCTAGTAAATCCTTGCCTGAGGAAGTGCCTGAGTGCTCTTCCTTGAGCACATCATCAAATAACCAAAGTTACAAACCAAGTTAACAGCTCAATCAGCCTTTCCATCAAGTAGCAATCCACAGCCAAATGCCACCAAGCCTAAAACTGGGCAGTGGCTGCCGTTCCTGAGTTTGCAGTGCAGCCTCTTCCCCCTGGCTTCATATCTTCAGGAAAGAATCATTCCTTCCAACACCGAGGTTGGCTGGTGGAGTTATGCTGCTCCTTCAGTCTGTTTTCCATGAGTAATGAAATTGTTGAGGTACCTGCTTTACTTAAGATGTTATCTAATGCTACCAAAGCCATATTCTCACCTCATGCTGTATCAGCAAGGAAAAGTTGGTGGCATCTTGGGTGAAGTTGCTTCTTTCCACCACCCTGAGACTCCACAGCAGAGAGTTACTTGGGGCTTTCTGCTACTTTTACAGTAATGTTATTTCTGTTGCCTCAGCACAGTTAAAATCCAGCGTGCCCCAGTGCTGCAGAGGAGGAGAATCAATATGTGAATGTTTATACTGCCCCAGCCCACCAAGATTTGAGCTACTTCTGCTTGCAAAGTCTTAAACCAGAAGCTCTTAGTCCAAGATCTGAGCAGCACTCGAGTTTTTAACATCCTCTCAGGCTCTGAGTAGATACAATGCCAAGAAAGTGGCTGTGAGGCTCCATGGATATGGCAAAATGTGTTGCACACACATCTTGTTTATCCTGTAGATGCAATACAACTGGAATGACTGGATGGCAGCTGTGGCTTTTGGTTGTGGGGTGTTGTTTTTTTTTGTAGTAGCCAAAGCATTAATCAGGGCAGGATGGTTTAATACTGAACAACCTGGATCTGATTGCAGAATAGTTACAGAAATGCTGAGGGTTACACCCTTTTTTATTTGGCCAATATTTTCCATAATATTTATGGGAGTTTCCTTGGTGAGTTTGGGTTCTGATGGATAATAAAGCAAACTTACTGGAGGTTGTTTTATTAACTTAGGTCTTGCGCATTTCATGTACAATAAAAAAATGATGTGTCCTGATTTCCAATTGGTCTCTGCCCATCATGCTGTGATTTTTTTGTTAATATAGGATTAAAAAAAATTATTTTTTCAATACAGATAATAAAACCAAATAGAAATTAATTAAGGAAAAAAATGCTTCCAAAGATAGAGTTTGAGGTCATGCATATGTACTACAAAGCATGTGATTGCTGAAATTGTGTTAGTAATGGGGGGAAATGAAAGCTCCTTTTATTTTATTTTTCTCACATCTTCTATCATTAAAATCCAGTTCTAACAGCAGAATACTTCTCTTTTTCATGTGTGTTGAAAAGCAGCTACACCATGTATCAAAGCCATCAGTCCAAGTGAAGGATGGACTACAGGAGGTGCCACTGTCATCATCATAGGAGACAATTTCTTTGATGGGTTACAGGTCATATTCGGCACCATGCTGGTTTGGAGTGAGGTAGGTGTTGTCTGAACGCTAATGTCTAATAGCTTTGTCTCCTTGTAGCCAGCCTGTCCTTTCTCTGGGCCACATGCTAAATCAGCAACAAATGCCGACACACGAATCCTTGCCTCGCTCGGTTTTATGAAAATAATTAGTCAAGTTTACCTGTGGCAGGAATCCACTATAGCCAGGGGTGTTTGCATCTCCTCTGGCTGGCCCAGAATTTAGCTCAGTGGGTTTTATTCCAGGGAAAGGGGAGGATAAATGCCTGTGTGAATAATTCTGCATTTAGCACTACAATAGCTAAGGGCCCACAGGAAACAAACGTTTAGGTGATCCTGCTTTTCAGGGAAACTGGCTGCTGCTAGCTGCAGCTCAATGAGGTGGAAACTGCAGAAATTCAGCACCTCTGAATATCCCTAAAGTCTGCATACTTGGTGTGTCATTTTCATAGCAGCAACCAAATGCACCGTGTTGTATCCACAGTGGACTCCTCATACCTACCAGGGGCCCCTGAAGTTTCACAGGAACCCTTTCCTTGTTTCTTATTATTTTTTTATTTTTTTTTTTTTTGCTGTTGTTATTCCTCCCAGCTCCTTAAATCCTGTCTTTTCCCAGCACATAATTAATCGTGGAGCCCGACATTCCCCAAAAGCCTGAGGAAAGTTAAAAGCCAGGCAGCATCACCCCATGGCCATGGCCAGAGTTCCCCCACTGGCACAGGGAGACAGCTCCAAGGAAAGATTTGTATTTTGAACTTAGCACTTTCCAAAAGCATTTTTGGGGTTTAATAAGAAATTGTCATTTTCATTATTTAAATACTGAAAAAAAAACCCCCAGCCTCCCTGAAATATCTGTGTGCAGCTCTTCCCAATGGCGAGAGGATCTTCTGGTGCTTTACCTTACATCCTGTAAATCTTAAATCAACACAATAGCTTAATTTATATCCAGCACATTCCCCCTACTGATTCCATTGCACATATGGCAGCAGTTTTTCCATGTGAAGAGTATTCTCTAATGTCCTTCACTGTTCTCTCTCTCTCATCCTTCCACTTGAGGACAAGTGTGGATGAAAGGGCATTCCAGAAAAGGAGAGATAGTAAATGAGCCCTATTCTGAGGCCCTTATGTGATCATGAAAGTGCCCCCTGGGCCCAGTGTAAGCATTTTGTGTGTTAGTATTGAAGCCATTATGGCTGCAGATATTTAACAGGGAAAGGTGAAGGGGCTGGGAGGAAAGTGCTCCGATTTTGGTGCTGCAGAATTGGATCTTTCATTATAAATCTTGATTCTATTTATTAGTGGAAGCCATTAATTGTCAATTTCTAATCTCAGGAGACTGAGTGCTGGTCAAAACATTGTTGCTGATGGTTGCAAGGCCTTGTCATGGAATTAATAATGTTAGAGGGGGTCCAGACTGAAGCCAGTCTGTTGTCTGGATATGCTGCAATGGGCTGCAAGCTGGTGTTGAGGAAAACTTTCACTGCCTCTCCCTTTCAGAATTGCTTCTCATTTCATAACCTCTGAAAGCAGTCAAAAATCATATAGGAGAAAAGAACATTCTTTCTAAAAAAAGCAGACAAACATGGTAAACAAGTGCAGAAATGCATGAGCTTTCTGAGTGATCCCTAAATAATAGTGATCTATAAATAATCCAAATTACACAAACAAGCCACCTATGAAGTACAAAATAAGTTCTTTCATTTGCCTTCCCATTTCTAAAAATGTCTAAGGCATTTTCAGTACCCAAGAAGAATATTTTTGTTTTACTTTATTAGAGTATAAAATTGAACTGTCAATCCTCTGAATCCGAGTCCATTACAAAACTGGAGCAGGCTCATCCCAAGTTGCCAGTAAGGCCCAGTTATTGGCCAGGTTATTTTGTCATTGAATTCTGGATAAATTTTAAAGTTCATCCTGTTGTTTCATGGATCCAAAGAAAACATAATTTTAACTGGGCTTCAGAAAATGCCAAGCAAAACCAGATAGTCAGAGGCTGAAGAAAAAGAATGAGTCTTGCAGAGCATTTGCATGTGGATTTTTCCAGCTCCAGTTTCACCTATAATTGCAGGTGGTTTGGGGATGAAGTCTAATATTGAAATTAAGCATCATTTTGTTACAGACTTTGCATGGGACCTTGGGCAAATCGTATAATCTACTTAAAGTTCAATTCCCTTTCTCTAAAACAGTAATAAGATTAGTCACCTTCTTTGGAGAGGTGCTGCAAAGATAATTATCGTAAAGGTCCTATATTACTCAGACTTCATTATAGCAAAACCCACGTAAATACCTGAACTGCATGGATATTTAAAATATAAATCCTACCCTAATTCAGAAGTAAAGTTAAAAGACAAAAAAAAATAAAAATAAACCAACTTCCTTTTAAGAGTGAATTTGTTGCTGTCAAGCAGCATGTTATAAATAATTTGAAATGTAAATAATATATTTTTAATTTATTTTACATGTATTCAAGTTTTGTAATTGAAATATTTATATGCCTGAAATGGAGTTGACTGTGTTAAAAAAGGAGGTTTAAAATTGTTTCTGAAGCACATATTTATTATTTAAACATATATTTTAGCTGTAAACACTCTAACATAATTGCAACCTTTCTCAGCCAGGGAGAACTAAATAAAAACTTAATTTGTCACATTAATTTTGAGCAGAAATGCAGATACCCTAAGCCAGTAAGTTGAATTAATCCTTACCTCCCATATTGCTTTATAAAAAAGACTTTAAAAGCCCTTGGTATTTTTAGAGTACAGCAGAATGGGCTGTCTAATGCCTTTTTTTTTTTTTCCAAGGGACTTTTGTAACAAACAAACAGCGCTGGTCTATGGTGTGCACATGCTGGATGTGCTCAGAGCCTCAGCTCTGGGAGCCAGACAGTTCTGCTGTGTTTGTGCAGTGCACACACACACATGGGGCTGGAGCTGGTGGGGTTTCACCCAGGCTCTGGGTCCCTGCGTGGTCACAGATATTCCAAATTGGCGCTGCTGATAAGAACCTTGCTTGTTTCTCTCTCCTGTTGGGGTGCTGAGACTCTGAGAGTCGAGTTGCAGGGCAAATATATGATTGTGAAGACAAAATTAGTTTCTTATAAATATTCCACGATATTTGCTTAAAATGAGCTATTTCTTCAAACATTTTTCTGCCAAGAACATTCCTGCAGCTGTACAGAGTCAGCTGGAAACAACTTCTTTTTTTTTTATATTAAGAAAAGATGAAGCACTGAAACATCCTTTTTTTTTTTTTTACCTTTGTACAGCACAAAAACAGAGAAAACAGAGGATGATTTTTTGGTCTGGTGGGTTTTTTCGTGTAATTTATTTTTTTTTACTGCTGCTGAATCAAATTCTGTGACACAGTTTGTTATTTTGCTTTTTATGTTTGTTATTGATTTTGGAAGTCTCTGGTTTGGCATGCTTATTTTGGAGGTCTGACTCATTTTTTAAAAATGAGTAGGCACCCTCTTTTTGCAAACCAAGGCTTATTAAGCAGCATCTGGATGCCCAGAATTGAGGCATGCAAAGTCATCGGTCGTTTTTTAAAATATAGTTACCTTAAGGGTTCTGTTCTCACTGAAAGCTGTCATTACCTTCAGTTGGTGGGATTTTTCTTCATTCCTGTTCTAATGGTCCTCTTCACACAGAGGCAAAGTCAAATTTATGACTGATTGTCACCATTTCCCTAACCACAAACCAGAGCTCGAGCATGCAAAAATAAACTAGTGACTCAGATTAATGACATCTCCTTATAAAATGTCACTTTTAAAAAAAGAAAGTAACCTGGCACTCTGAAGAGTGTGAAATGATGCTGTATCACACAAGAATGCCTAGAATATATTAACAAACCACAGAAAGAGGCTTGTTGTACACAGCCCAAATGTGTTTTGGATTTTGAAGGCCAGGCACCTCCCACCATTCAGATCTCTAACTCAGGTTTTAGAGCATCCCACTGCATGTCCCAGCTGACATGTAAGAATTTATACCAAACTGCAAATGCAGTTGCTAAGTATCAGGCCAATTCACTTGCAAATCCCTTGGGAGAAAGGTCCAGTTCCTAATTTTATGTCCAGCTCCGTTTCTCAATTTGCTAAATGCTGGAATGGAGGAGGAAGATGGATCTGGGATTTTGGCTTCTGGGTTCATGCCCAAATCACAGGTTCATCCCTTACTCAAGATTTACATTTAAAAGATATATTCAGAAAGGAGCGTAACTCATATTTAGGGATTCTTGGCTGTTGACATGTCATTGCTGATTGTTTTGGTGTCTGTTCATCCACCAAGAGTTCCCAGCTGATGCACAACTGGCACTGCTGGCTCACACAGGGAACTCACCTACCTCAGTGTCTTGTGTTTGTCACTGGGCAAGGACAGATGCCTAAAAACAACAGGGTGAACATGTGATGCCTCCCCAAAACTTTACCAGTCTCCAGCTGTTTGGGGCTCAGTGGCACCAAGAAGTGATGTCTTTACTTTTAACATCCCTGAATGGTAATAGCTCACCTCTTCCAGATGTTTGCATGTAAATATGAGGCAGATTATGGATTGAAGAAGGAGCAGGCTGTGTCAGCTTGAAAGGAGAAAGGGTGGAGTAGGTTCCCAACATCAGGCTGACAGTGTAGGCAGGAAAGCATCCCATAATCCTGGAGTTACAGAGGCAGGGGCAGATCTGCTTTTCCATGGGTGGGCTTGGACAGCCCAGAGATGCACAGCACCAATTGGGACACTTGGATAGCAAAGCAGAGTCAGGACAATGTGGAGAGCTGCTCCCAGTCCATAGCAGATGCTGGCAGAGCTGTGGAATTAGATTCTGAGACCCAAGGTGGGAGGTTTCAATGTGCAAGGGAACATTTTTTGTCCCGTCAAGCCGGTCTCCTGCTATGACAGCAATCTAAGGAACTCCTGGTGTGTAACCAAGCTGGCCAGTTCCCTCTGTGTGCAGGAGACCTGAAGGCTGACCCAGAACAAAAATGGCTCAGCACTGAATCCCTGCCAGTGGTCAATTACAGATGTGATGGAGAAAAAGCAAAAGGAAAAGGCACATGTTTTCTCCTGGTATACCTCCCAAGCTTTAGTTGTAGGGAAGAGAGGAATAAAATACATCCTGAGTGTCCTAAACCATAGGACTTCAGACATAATGTTCACCCTTTGGGAATGTGTGGGCAACATTATTGTATATTTGTGGTTTTAAACACAGTTAAACTTATTTACTTCAGAGCACAAAGGAAAACCAAACTGTTTGTGGAGAACAAACCAGGAAACTTGCTTAACTCTCCCCAGCTCTCTGTAACAATGGACCATAAATAGGTCAGACATTTCTTGGGAACCAGGGAAGATGAGTATTGGAAAATGCCACAAATTATGTTTAAAGAACATTAAAGTGGTGACAGACCAGTAAATGCTGGGAAATTCAAAGATACAACCAGAAGCTGCCTGTATAGCTCATGCCAGAAGGGGGTGAGGGATGCAAGGCTCATGCTGATGCAGTAAGATGAGCGTGTTAACCTTTGCTACTAAAATCCTTGGCTGATTTTACAAATATTTTCTCCCAAAAATGTCATAAATTTTTTCTCATCTTGCCAGTTCACCCAGTTAACCAGAACCACTCGAGGATGGGATTGATCTCAGTTATGTTTGACTGCTTGCAGTTGAGCAAATGGTCTGAACTCGTCATGTTGGGAAGGGTCAAAGCTTCTGGGGAGTGGCTCATCCCAGTGAGAGGTGTCTGAAGCACTAGAAATCCATCACTGCTTGGCACTGCCTTCTGCCCCTGCTGGCTTTTTAGGGTCAGGAGAGAATTGTCCTGGACTTGAAGGCTTTGGTCAGCTCAACTGTTAGACAACTTAGTTTAAATGAAAGCATTCCTTTGAAGTTTGTGGTTTGGTTTTGGTTTTTTTTTTTTTATTTTTCACCCCTCCCCCCCAGTTGATAGAGTGAGCCATTTAGAAAAAGGGCAGGTTTCTTTTTAAAGTAAGTTTCTAAACCACATGATTCTAAAGAAGAGCCTGAAAACATACTTTTGGAGCTCCCAAACAAGAAGACATCAACCCCTACATGATAATTTCTAAAATGACATGTGGCTTCTGACTTCTGTGGATCTGAGTAACTTTTGGAGCATTTGATGCTGGTAGTTTTGGTTTTAATGTTCAACTTGATTTAATATTAATTTTCTTATTTTAAATATGGAGAGCTCCCCACTGTGTGTGCCATTTCCCTCTGCAGCACAGATGGCTCTCAGACAGATATTGCTCTCCTTCTGTGCTCTTTTTTAGTCCCTAAACAAAGAACCGGATAAAAGTCTGGGGTTTTTGGTAGGGCCTTACTGCAATGCTGAAACATTTGGTTCCTAGTAAAAATAAGAACAAAATCAGCTTTTTAGTAAAAAAAAAAAACAAAACAACAAACTATTGAAATTTATTCCTTAATCCAGGACATGATTCAACCAAGAGCATAGAGCAGTTGACTGCATGGGGTGCTCACACTTTGCTCACTGTCAAACCAGGTTATGGTCTTGGTTTTATTTGCCACAGGCAGAGAAGGATTATCCATGTGCCAGAGCTGTCTCTTGGTTGTTGGACACAATCATGTCACCTTTTCTCTTTTTACTGTTCTTTCTGAGGGAGCCCAATGAGTGAGAAGAGGACATTTTGGTGACGGGGAGGACAATGCTGTAGTTTCTGAGAGCAGCAGAGATTTGAGTTAATCTGCTATGAATTAGTGAACTCTTAGATGGCTCTGCTAATAATTTCAGGGACCACATTTTAAATCCAGTCCAGAATCCTTAAAAAAGCAAAAATGGCCAAGAGCCTGGAAAGTGCAGCACTGACCTGCCCCAACCTTTGTGCCAAGAGGTCAGAATCCCCTGCCCTAATAAAAAGAAAATCAACTTTATCTACTTATTTCTGTGTAAATCCACACCTGAAGAAGCCTTCTCAGACATGTGTCAGTCATTGCAGTGAAGGCAGACTGGAAGTGATGGTTAGGTGGTTTTCTTTGGTGTACATTGTTTTTGAGTGCTCTCATCATTTTGAATGAAAGATCCAGCATCCTTTAGAAGCCAAGATTTGCATTTCTCCAGGCATCAGTTGCACCTCCACAAAATTAACAGAAAATTAAAACAGCAGCAAAGCTGTTTTAAAAAAAGCAGGATGCTTTTCCAGTGTACAGATGTCAGCTGGGATAATTAAAATTTTGTGCTGTGCCATGTTCACATGTGTAATGATGTGTCATTTATGAATCTGATTTGTTGGACATTGTCATGACCCCCAAATTCACCTGAGCAAACGTGGGTGTCCTGCTGCTGTAGGCTGGGGCTATTGCATCAAACCAGGGCTGATGCTTGTACTAGGAAACAAGTGCCTGCCATGTATGAAAACAGGAATAATGTTGTTACAAGAATACTTGTAAATACTGTGGTCACTGGCTTTTGTGTGGGTTACATCAAGATTTTACTCAAACACTGACAGGTTAATTACATGTTTCAAAGCTTGTTTACTGTGATCTGAAAGTGTTATTAAAGAAGTGTTCAGCATCTAACAGTGTTTCTCTTTCTTCTCCCTTCCCAATGTTTTCTCTAGCTGATTACTCCACATGCCATCCGTGTACAGACGCCTCCCCGACACATCCCAGGGGTTGTAGAAGTCACATTGTCCTACAAGTCTAAGCAGTTCTGCAAGGGAACGCCTGGAAGATTCATTTACACAGGTATGGGTGCTTTAAGTGTAAGGGGGAGAAATAGGGCAGGCAATAAATCACACTTGCTAGGGCTTCTGCTTTCATCATTTAAAGTTGTGCTGCATCTTGTTATTTTGGCTGAGGACGTCACTGAAGATGTTTGAGGATGGAGTCAGAATTAGGTGACTGTAGGGATGAATCTAAAAACACACCAGTGTGGGATTTCTCTTTGCTTGTTTGTCCTCACAATGGGACATCTCTTTACCCAGGAGGGGAGAGAAAGGAGGGAAGCAGATACTCCAGCACTTAAACAAACAGAGGAAGAGTGCAAGCACAAGGAGCCAGACATACAAACCTGCCTTGAGATGGATCCAACTAAACATCTCCATCTCATGTTGCCCAGCAAGTGTTGCAGAGGTTCAAAGCCTGTTTGCCAGCCCATTTCACCATAACTCACTTGTCTCTGGCTTCCAGGGAGCTCCAGTAGCTCTCAGCCCAGCCAGTGCTGCAGACACAGGGACTTGCAGTGTGCTTTGGGGTGGTCTCCTGCACTGGACACCACTAGGTTGAGTGATTTGGCCTCAAGAATTACTAACAAAAAGAATCACTCTGGGACACTGCAGGTGCTGTCAGGTGTCAAACCACTCTCAGTAGTTATAAGGATGGCCTGGGAAATAAGTAGCAGCTGAACTTTTTTAAAAGGATGTGTCATTGATTCCTCTGAAGGTGTGTGCTTTAACAGCTTTGCCCTGGTTTTGATGTGCTTTTGATGCACTTGTTGTTCACATCTACAGACAGGACTATGCTGGAACTGTTTGCCTGAACCATGGTTCAGCACAACCCAATGCAATTCCTTTCCTCATCCATTTCCTCATCCTTGTTTGCCCTTGGAACTTTAGGGTGTACCATAAATGCCTGTGACTGAGGCATTCTGAGTTCCACTGGGCTCATACATGGCTCCAACCCTCAGTGTCCACACAGGGACTCGAGGCAGAGGAAGACAATTCTGTGCTCCAGCTGGACAGGAAACTCATTTGAATTTCGTTAACACTAAGAAAGTTGAAAAAAGTTGCCTTATAAAGCTTTCTTGTCTTTTTCAAATACCCTCTCCCCCAAATGGGGATTATGCATTGGGTTTCTTTAAACTGGCTCTTAAAATGCTCAGATATTGCCCTGCTGGCTGAGCAGCAGGCACTTGTGGAGGCTGTGTGTGTTTATTTGTGAGAATTATGATTTCAGCAATGTGTGGGAAATCAATCTACTGGACAGTAACACACCAAATCAAAAAATTATTTCAAGTTTTCAATGTGTTGTAAAAAAAGGAAAAGCAAAGTTTGAGTTGATGGCTGTGCAAATTGCTGGTGTGACCCATCACAGGAGGGTGTTGCCCAGAGCTTTGGGCTGTTTGAGATGAATCCTTTCCCTCCTCTGTTTCTTGCAGGAAGTTGTGCTGTCCTGCCTGTTGTCACCCCACTGGGGTGGCTTCCCCTGGGGCTGGTGAAATGGCAGGTGTGGATATGGAAGGGGAAAAAAAAAACAGGGGGAACCAGCTCCCCTTAACTTTGCAAAGAAATTTTTGATGACTCCTTTAAATGCAAAAATGGCTTGAACCCATTTTGGGGTTGCTTTTCAGATCATTATTAATTAGTTTTTCCAGTAAAAAGGAGGGCAGCAGTTTAGCTTGTCTGCCCAGAAGCAGATGGCTGAATGTGGAGATGAAGTGTCCCAGTAGGGAGAGTGTTTCCATGTATGCATTTTCTGGTTGGTGTTTAAAACACACTATTTTTCATCCAGTAAACCGAAGTTATTAAATACAAAACAAGAATGATAAAATCAAAGGTGATCCAGCCCATGGACAGTTCTCTCATGCAGTTACTTACAGAGTTACAACAGATACAGAAGAGGTGTCGTGACTGAAATCCTACCTCACATAATTTGCATTTTCCTTTTAGACCCAGCCTGAACTTAAATGTAGCTTTTTAAAAAAGGACTAAATGAAACTAAAATAAAAACAATTAATGCATTCTGACCTTCAGAAGTGCCTTCCAGCCCTTTAAACAAAATGCAGGTTCAGTACATGCCTGCCGATTAGTTTTAGTTAATTGAAAATTATAGGATTGACCCAAGAGGAAAATTTTGTTTGCACTCCAATCACTTTTACAAATTAAGGAAAATTACCACAATTTTGTTTAGCTAAGGTTTCACACTGAGTTCACGAAATTAGCTCAGCCATCCCAACAAAGTCAGCACTTTGTTAGTGAGCACTAGAAAAAAACTAATAGTCTATGGTGTGTACAAACGAAGCATAGAAAAAGCTATGATGCTTTAGAGAACTAGGCCAAGTGGTTTTAATTAGGATTATTGGTTCATTGTAAGTTTTGAAGAACAATCAAACTAGCAGATTAGCTGTTTCTTTTAAAGCTAGAATTTCTTGCCATTCATTTTTCCCATGAGAACTTGTTTTAACTCCCACATAGCACTATTTTTTTAATTTTTTTTTTTATATTTTATTTTTTTTTAACAAGGCCTGCAGGAAATGGACCAATTGGAAGTTGGGATACAGTAACATTCCCCAGCATCACTCCAGCCTATGGGAGTTTTTCACAATGTTCTTCAGTGAACTCAGTGTTCTGGAACATATTACAAAACCACAGAGGCCAAATGTTTTCTCAGAGGAGTTTGGCCTCTGTTTTTGGCCGAAAACATTTCAGCATCACTTGCTGCTTATTTACCCTGCTATTAAGAACAAGAAAAGGGGAGAGCAGAAAAAGCAGGGGGGGAAAAGCGAAAGAGAGTGTGTGAGAGAGAGAGAGAGAACAAGACCTGGGGTTTGTGGGCGGTGCAGGAGTTGATCAAGTGTAGTTTCCTTTCTGGTGAGAATGTCCCTGCTCGTTAATGGTCCCATTTTGTGGTCAGGTCTCATTTAGAAGAAATTATTTTTAATCAGTGTTCAACAAAATATCCCCTCAAGCCACCTGGCTGTAAACTGTTTTTTTCTTACTGTTAAGTAGTTAAGTTCTCAGAAGAAAATACCCGGTGACCCATTAATTTTAGCCTTTTTTTCCTTTTTTACTGCAAATAACTTAGTAACATGATCTCCAAGTAGTGCATGTGCCATCTAGGAATCAAGATCACATACATACAGAGAAATCCTGGCTTTTGTGAGTATTACTGAAAGAAATAAACCAGTGTCAACCCTGTGCTTACAAGAAAACATAAGTTTTTTTTATTTTCCATCTGCAGAGAAAGCCATTAGCATGCACTTAGAGAGCAATTATTTCTTAGATTTTAAGCTTTGACATTCTTGAGAGAACATTATTAGAAATACAGAAGTCTGAACACTCCTTGAATGTGTGTTCATTTTGGAATAATAATAAAAATCCATATTACACATAGAAATACCCAGACATCCTGTGGCACTGTTCATCTCTAAATCTCTTCTGGCATTGAATGAATTCAGCTTTGTGTCACAACTTGGGAGTCAAGTGTGTGTCACTAGCATTATTTTAGGACTGGAGAAACTGAAATAAAGGAAGAGATCAGAGGTACAAATCCCTTTGGCAAGGTGATCAGGGCATATATGGTTGAATTAAATAAGAAATTAGAATTGGCACAAATTTGTGATAGCCAGACAGGCCTTTGAGATTTTGTTTTGGTTTGTTTTAATTTTTAAAAAACATTTATGCCATGGACAGCATGAATTTCACAGGTGACTTTTGCAGTGGCACTGAACTGCAAGATTTGAGTGGGGCTGCATGACTGTGAGATGAGAATTTATCTCACTGCATATTGGAAAGGACATATGGAGGGTCCATAAAAATGCATTATGCTGTGTCTTCTACCACCTGCTCAGTTTAAGATTTTGTGCTTTTGTTCCCAAAACAGAGCAAAGGACTTCACGGGGGCCAGAAGTAGAGATCTGTGTCACTGAGGTTGTGTGCAACACAGGTTAATTCAGATTCTTGGCTGAGCAGTACCCCAGACACTGCTCCTCCTTTTGGAAACAGGCTTGGACTCAGGTTGGAATTTTGGAGCATTTTAATTTTCATTAGGCTTGCGGGGAGTCTGTGTGCTGAGCCCTTTGTGGGCTGACAGGGCACCAAGAGGAGCAGGCAAGTCCCCCATGGCCATTTGGGGTTTGTTATGAGCTGTGGGGTGGGATGTGGCTCTGGAGGTGCTGCCAGTGGGAATGGCTGGGTGGAGGATGAGCACAGACACACAGAGCTTGTTCTGCACTGGGAATAACCCAGCTGCTGAGCTCTGCTCCTGCAGGACAACTGGGACAAGGCTGAGTAGGACAGAGGGGACACTGCCAGGACTGAGCAGTGTTTGTGTCACACTGTTCGGCCACTGCGTGTGGAGAGATGTGGAAATCCTGGTGCTGTGAAGGTCAGGATATTCACAGAATTTCTGGGAAACTGCGTCTGTCTCTGAAATGTCACAGGGCTTCTCAGGGAACCTTTCACTCCCCTATTTGCTACAAAGAAGAAATGGTCTTGTGGAAAAATCTTCTGTTCTGAAAACATTTGAGTTTGTGTACAAAGAGGAAGGGCCTTGCAGATCACAGATGATTTGAGTAATGTTTCCAAAAGTCTCTGTTTTAGATGACTTTCATTTTCAGATTTTTAATTTTAGATGGTTTTATTTACAGAAGCAAAGGAGTAGTTGTTTTCTGAGAATCATTCTCTTTTCATGTTTTTGAAGTCAAATACTTTCAAGAGTAAGAAACCAAAAACTACCTGTTACCATCTAAAACTTCAGTCTGTGGTCCTGGACGCAGAGGTTGGAGTATTGTACAGAGATCTGGTCAGAACTGGAACCACTTAAAAACTGGTCTTGATCTTTTCTCATTTCAAGAAAGCACCAACAATTATGCAAAGTTCAAAAGGTACATAATCAATGAAACAATCAGTTTTCAGAATGGAGAGTTCTGGAGTTTGTAGTCTAAAGAAAGAACATTAAATAAAATTTTAAAAAAAATGGGTAAAAGGGAGGAAAAAGAAGTGGTGATAAGAGACAGACTGGCTGTC